CTGCCCGAGCTCGGCCCGCCCCGGGACCGCCCCGCGGCAGGTGGGTCCCGGGGGCTTCTCCTGGGCAGGGAGCCACCAGGGGAAATGGGCACGGGCGCGGGAGTTGCCTGAGGTTGAGGCTTCCTGGGAAAGAGCGCACCCTTAGCGTCCGGCCAGGCCCGGCTCCCCGCTTTGAACTTTCGCCCAAAGATTCTCTGGGCCTCAATGTCCTCCTCCGCGAAGGGGCCCAGGAAGACCGGGAGTGCAGGGCTCGTGCACGCGCGAGACCCTGGGTTCTGACTCTAGCACCACCCCGTCCTCTTCCCCCAAAGGCGCGGTAATCATGGACTGCATCGCCATTCTCAGTCACCGCACCACGGCTCTGTGCTCTGAAACTCGCGCTTGGCGGGTGGCAGGAACCTCAGGAATATTTGCAAACTGGTCATGATGCCTTCTTAGCTCCCACTCAGCAGCGAGGCAGTCCCGGTGCTAAACCCGTTCCTATTTACATAAATGATATAAGTCCAGCTGGTCTTGCGAACCAAGTAAAAATAGTTAAGTTTCCATCCATGAGCCCAGAATGCTCCTACTTCTGCAGGGACCCCTGCTTCCCACGCGATGCCTGTCGCTCTTGGAGCAAAACTGTTCCACTTCCAGGAGGTCCACAGTAGTGAGGGGAGAGGGCAGCAGTGGTGGGGGTGGGTACACAGACCTGGGGTTCTCTTGCCGGGGGCAGCCACTGGCTTCTGCAACCCCACTTACAATATCTCATCTGTAAATCAGAGATATTCATTCCCACTTCCTTGGGCCTTTATGGAATTAAGTGAGATTTGTCATGTAAAACATTTAGCACAGTGTTTTGAGAGTGCGCCAGCCTTATCTGGGCACTGATTATCATACTAGTTGCAGGTCCCTACCTTGTATTTCTGAGTCAGCATGTCTGGGGTGGTGCTGAAGTATTAGCATTTCTAATTTGCATCTCAGGAGATATGGACACAATCTATTCAGGTACCAAATGTTGAGAAAGACTTCAGCATTCAATTTACTATCATTGTCATTCTCCAGCAACCACCCAAATACAAGTCAAAAAGATAAATCAGGAGATATGAATGGAATATTAATCCAAATCCAGCCAAGAACAAGGTGCAGACTCGGTGGTCGGTGCACATGACGCCTGCAGATTCCTTCCTGCAGACCAAGGCCGCCAGGCCCATCAGGGAGGCCCTCTGAGTCTTTAGCAGTTCAGAGTCTTTAGCAGTCAAAGATGACTGCTTTGACTGGGAGAATATGTTGGTATTATAAAAGATTATTACCATTCTAGGTGATTACACACTGGTTTCTCAAATATATGTGTGTGTGTATAAATAATTGAGGCAAAACCCCAATTGACTGAAAATAAAAAGTTTGAGCCATAACTGCCTCTGGGTGATATATTTGATTCCAAGAATTTTCTTTGTTCGGTAATTTATTCTGTCACTAAAGATATCTAAGGTTTTCTCATATGCATGGACTGCAAGGCATTTATATCTCTATTGATTGGGAGGGGGAATAAAGGACTATCATACATGGCAAATTATCTGCCTTTGGGGAGACTGAGCAGTAACATTTTGAAAACTGGAAAGGCAGGGGGGTTGAGGGAATGATGCCAAGGTGAATGGCCTGTTCCTGATGCACTGGAGCCCTGCATGAAGGCCAAGTATTCAAAAGGCCTTCTGAATCCCATTTGCACCCTGAATACTGGGAAAGATGACAATGGTAAACTATTACAATGTATTCACCATAATTTTATTCTGAACTTCGGTTCCTTTGCAAAAAAAGAGGGAAAAAAAGCCCTTGAAAAACAACTTGCTAAACTCTAGCACTCAGCATTCTCAACCATGATCATCTCATATATCTTTTTTTTTTTTTTTGGAGGATCTCTGTCTTCAACCCATAACAAAATATTTTCCACCGCCAAGGAAATGGATTTTAAAACAGAATTTAATAAATCCATTTAAGTGCTCCACCCAATGTATTTATTTTAACATTCAGACCCAAAGTCCTCAAAGAAACAAGAAGACAAAATTCCCTTTTGTCCAACAAAGAAGTTAATGTAATTCATCTCTAAAACCTAGAACTAAAACTCTTTCTTTGCTATGAGGGTACAGTTCCTTTCCTAAGATAATCTCAAATCATGGCACCAAAACTTTACTCTTCTTAATGCATCTCATCTTTGAACTGTGTATTGTTCTCATACATGGTAGAGAAAGTTTTTCTCAGTCTATAGAAATTTCATTCAAGCAGGAGCACCGCTGTTTGAACACTCAACAAAGAAATGTCTTCAAGGAATATATTGTGGATATTTATGGAGATAGCTGGCGGGAGAAGAGACCCTTGGCTAAAAGCTATAGCAGAGATTAAAAACATAGGATTGGAGTCAGAAAGATCTACTACTTTCTCTGTGTGAATTTTGTGTCAAAGTTCCTGACTTCAGGTCCTTTGCATTTTTTGCTTTCTCCCTTGCTCACCACGATCCATTTACTACCCAATATCCAAAGTTCTTTTTAAAAAACAGTGGCGAAGCCCGACCGACCTCCAATGCTGCTTGACACAGTTCCAGCTGGGGGAAAAGGAGGGTGGAACACATTGTACCCTCATGTTTTATTTTTTCTTGCCATAATGTTTACAATTGTTACTCTGGTCACAGGAATCATTGTGTTTGTGACTAACAATATATTCTCCATGAGGCAAATTGGCAATGATGTATTGAAATCTGATCTGGCTCAAAGTCCCAAATTCCTGTTTCTCTTAGTTCTATTGCCACACCCACTTCTAAAGAAACCTCTCCTAAAAACTCCCTCTGTTTTTACTCTACTATAACTCCTTTCTTCTATTGATGACTTTCTTTTTACTAAAGGGGTCTTATAAAGAGAATGAAAGGACAGATTTTAGATGTAAGAAACAGTGGGAAATGGGAAATAGAAAGAAAGTTAAGACAGATAAATATACTAAGGAGGCAAGTTACTCAGTTTTTCTCAAAGTACTGTAAACATCTCCTGCTCATGGACCATGAACCCAAATAACACTTAAGTAAGATGAATAGAGGTATGGAAAAATAGCGAGCTAATAGCAAACTATATTAACCATTGTGCAGTTTCTCAAGGGCCAGCTGACGACCACAAGTTTGACATTTAATTAATTAAATCTTCCTTGTACCCCCGCTGATATAGAGATTTTGATTAAGTTACCTTCTGTTCTGCTTAGGTGTGGGTAAATAAGGGGACAATTGTAATTTTTAAAATGTATTCATGATGTTCAATGAAATGAATCAGCTTAGGAAAAATATACCCTGTTTAGC